AACAAAAGTGGCTTGGGGGACTGCAGATAGAGTCAGGGCCGCCCACATAGCAGCAAACTCGTCCACCTTCAAAAAAACAAAAACACAAAAGCCCTGGGGAGAGCTGCAGGTTCGCTGCAGGTTCGCCTGCACCATTGCAGCTCGAAACATACGCTGACCTTTGTGTCGATTACATTAAATGCTGTGTCAGAAGGATAGCAGCTAGTGTTAAAAGGGAACTTTTACAGGATGTGATGATATGGAGACGGTGGCACTGAAAGAAAAAGAGCTGGTGTAGCTGCAAGCAGCAAAGTTAAAAGACACTAAAGTTTTTGTTGGGGCTGAACAGGATTAGATAGCTGTCCCTCTGATGTACTCCTAAGTCTGGGCGGTTTGGAGACAAAGTTAAAGAGAGATAGGATGAGATGGTTTGGATGTTTGCTGAGGAGTTAGGATAGTGGATATATTAGATAAAGGATGTTGAAGATGGAGTTGCCAGGCAGGAGGAAAAGAGGAAAGGCACAGAGACGATTTGTGGATGTCCCGAAGGAGGACATGCAGAAGTCTAGTGTGACATCAAAGAACGCTCCGAATAGGGTAAGAGGGAAGGTGATGATTTGCTGCGATGACCCATTAAGGCAGTAACCGAGAAGGAGAAGAAGAAAAGGAAGAAGAAGCAGCAAGGAAGTAAAAAAATTCAAGAATGTCTCATCTAATCCCACAAAAGCTCTCATGCTTCATAACCAGCTGAATTGTTTCAATTTAAAAAAGAAAAACAAGAGAGAATCAACTTCTCTATTTATTTGAGTTAGTATAATCTGAACAACTTGTAAGTACTTCCACTAATTACACAGCTTCATGTGACCGAGCTTGCTCAAACCACCCCGCTGTGTTTCCCAGTATTTTTAGATTTTAGATTGCTGCACTACTATAGAGGGCATTGTTGAAAGTTAGATCAGAGTATTAGTCACTGAAAAACAACTCTGATATGAACAGTTTATCCACAGGAGTTCAGTCTGTAGCAGCCGTAGAAAATCTAATAAGAGCGAGCAATGAAGAGGAAGAATCATGACCCACAATCTGAAGCTGTATTCTCGAAAGACTTAGCTGAACTCTGCTGTTACACTCTTATGGCCTCAATAAGTCAAACAGAAATCTAAAGTGTAGAAATATATTTTTAAACAGGATTATGTCGCTACCTGTGACAGAAAGACTAAAACGTGGCATTTGCGTTGATATACCCCCCCAAAACGAAGGAAACCAGCTTGCAGTTTGTTCCTTGTTTGTATAAAAACAATGGCCAACATTTAACTCAAAAATGTTTTCTTAACATTAAACAGGGAAACAAAGATGCAGTTTATGCAGATATAAAAAACAACAACTATAATTTTGCAGCTTTAAACAGCTTAACTTCTACCTCACAAAATCACAAGTTTCCCCAGAGTTCTTAAAACACTAAAACAGTTACACAACTTGAGCAACAAGTTGTCATAACCATTTGAAAATAACTAGGTCCTCCAGTAGCCTACTTCTTTTTTTCTCCTGAGAAACTAACATTTGGGGTCATATTAACTTTTGTATTGTGGATGCAAACATTATTGTTATTTCAAATAATTTCAAAATAAGAAAGAAATGGCATGTTTTAGTCATTGATATTTTTAAGCGTCCCATATTGTATTATTCCCTCGCACCATGACTCTGTTTGATTAAAGTAAGTCAGGAATCAATATGAGGAGTTATATTGCTGTTGCTTCATGATTAATTTATTAGCCATTAGTTGTGCACAAGGCTGTTGGGAAATAGTGCAACTTTGAGTAGGTTCTGCAACTACGAGATGCTGACTGCAGGTAACACAACAGTGATACCGAAGCCTGCCGCTACAGGCAAGATGCAGGTTTACAGAACTGGACCCTTCCATTTAATGCAAAATTTGCAATCAAAATTTCTAAACTTCTACATTAATAAGCAAAACACAGATTTCATTCATCAATCTTTGGTTTTTCCTATGAATTTTTAACTTGATGATGTCAAACTGTATGCATTCTTTGAATTTCTGTGGTTTAGTTGAAAAAAAAAAGAGGAAATGGTTAAATATTTGCTTCGAGCGCATTCATAAATGATTAAACTTCCGATAAAATCTATGCTAGTTTTACAAGAAAGCATTCGTCAATGACTATTCCGCACGCGTAGCTGCACCGACCAGGGGTTTTTCCCCCTCGCAGCTGAGAGGTTTCCTGGATGAGTACCCATGGCAAAATAGTTTGCATGTCTGCCTTGCTTATTTGCAGTTTATGCACCAGAATCTGGTCAATAAACTACATTTTTCACACACAGTTTTGCGAGATATCCGCAGACAGTTAAGATAACAAACACTGGAAGCATTGGAAAGTCCAGTTTTTCTTGATTGCCTCATTCTTTAGCTGTTTTTTGTGCACGAACAGGATTCTTGTCTTCTCTGCATCTATCCCCATGTTTTCTCATGCTGCGTCAGAGCATGCATATGCAATGAGTGGGTGACACTTAATTATGAGTGGTCAGTAAAGGCACCTGATCTCACTTGGAGAAGGATTGTCCATTCCTGATCAAATCCTGGCCAACTCCAGATATGAACAGGGTCTTGGTTTTAAAAAATCAGCTGGAAACTGTTCTCACAAAGTACTGTACAACAAGGTGACCTCTGTCATCAAATAAAACACTATTCTGTAATAGATGTGATACAGGCACTCAATGAACCCTGCTTCTAAGTGTATATTTTATGCTCTCTTGAACTTCTCGTTTCTGCAAAAACATCCCTTCTCTGATCTTACAGCTCTTGTATCAATAAAGATGCCGTGCACAAGGAAATCAAATGGGCTTGACAGCTAACAAAGCAGCTAATCAAGTTATTTGCTTTAGCTGCATATGAGAGGTTCTTCCAATAGCACACTAATTAAACAGAGAGAACAGGAACATAAAACTGTGTCAGTTACACTTCAAGTGTGGGGAAAAAAAATCAATGGCATGTCATAACTGATTGCATATCGTTTTAAAAGTATGTAAGACTGAATAGCAGGTGTGAGTAGAGACTGACAGAGCTGCAGATAAGACAACACAGTGATGTTAACAATGGCAGATATAGTAGATGTAATGACAGCCACAACTAGCTCTGATTTTGCAGTTGATTTGTAAATCATTTAACCCTCAGCGACCACCTTTGATACTCTTGACTGCGTGACTTCAAAAAAGTAATCAAAGCACTGCGTTACTGGTCAAAGACAATCAAATTCTCCCGAGATAATGCTTGCCAGAGTCTCATGTTTGCTTCCCAAACAACGGCCATGCGCCCGCTGACGTGCCCTTGAGCAAAGCCTGTTAAGTCACGCTTAAGTAACTTTACTTTATATAAGTAACGCACACTTTCAGGTTCACCAATAAAAAGGGTAAAAAAAAAGGGGGGGGGGGAGACAAAAGCTGATTGTTGCAATGCACACAAGATGAGGCCTACACATCGTCTGCGTCTGCACCCAGGGAGAGCCTCCAGGGAAAAGCATGCACGTTTTTTTCCTCCCTTTGGTCTAACAGGTTACTTTATTACAACGTAACAAAGAGGATATAAAGCGCACTTACGTAACGTCTCAACTTTTTTTCAGGAGGAGACTTTCTCAGCCACCCCGAGCACACCACCTCTCCCCCGCTCATTTCTGCTCCTTTTCTTGCTCTCTCTGGAGTTTGAGCCCGGATTGACGCTTGGCGCTGGTTGTTTTCGGGAGTGTCTTCTTGTACCTGGGGGAAAAAATAACAATAAAACAGTTAATATGAGGCTAAGACGGTGAAGTCAAAAAAACATACTTCGAATATAAAGTTTGTTTCAAAAATGCTGTGCGCGTATGTGTGTTTTTAAAGGCGCAATAACCAACCGTCACTCCTCCGAAAGTGGACTCGCCGACACGGCAGTTCTGTGAAATGCACAGACCAGATTTCCACGAGTTGTACTCAAATAAACGTGTCTCCTTAGCTTGGAGTAAACATAAACCCCGGCGGCACCGCCTTTCGAACAAATATCAACGGTGACTTTTGTATTTTGTTCAAACTGGAAGGCTGTGGGGTCAAAAAAAAAAGAGAAAAAAAGAAAAGAAAAAACAGGCGCAGACAAATGAAAGTCGGCAAGTTTTTCTGTTGTTGTTATATTTAACGTCTCATGCTAATTCCCGTCAAAGTGAAGCGATTCCCATCTGGAGAGGTCGGGTGTGTATGTCCCACACTGTACCGGTGCATAGTTGTCGTCTGAACGCAAATTAAAACAAGCTCGACCGTAAACACGGTGGTTTCGCCTAGCTTTCCTACCAGTTTACTCCCATGGTTCCTTAATTGTGATTGACAGGGTGGCTCCGTCTTTCCCTAAACTCACCCTCCTTTGGAACACTACTGAATGGAGTTAACAGCCGCAGAGGCGAGAGGACCGGAAGTTATTGGTTTGTTTTCAAAATAATATTAGCACGCCAATATAGAAGCTGCCTTTAGTTTAGAAACGTAGTAGTTTAAAGTAAGTGTAAGTCGCTATTTTTAGTCTCGATTGACAGGTTGACATTGACATCTACCTTTTCTCATCTAAGCAATACTGTAGTACTATGGCTAGTTCTGTAAATTGATGAAGGCTACATTGTTATAAAGAACATAGAATATATTTTCATTCTTACACTCCAGAATATTTCTTCATGGTAATATTCGCACATACGAGGCACGACTCAACGTGGTTTAATTTCTAGAATGTTATTTTGAAATTCAAAGTCGGAAGTTGATGTTTGTTCCGACTGCTTGATGCGGTTCTTCAGAGGACAAACTGGAGAGGCGGCGGCGTGCAGGGAAAGCTGTAGAGCTTCCACCATGGGACATGTAGTTCAAACAGTTTTCTGTGTCCCGTTCCTAAAAAAATAACAACACTAGTGAAGTGTTGTTTAGCTTTTTTGTAGATGACGCATAACGTTAATACAGAAGCATGCACCTCTTGGTGAAGACAATGAGCTTAAAAAAAGCGACAATGAAAAGACCCGCCTCAACCCCTAGGGTCCCAACAAATCACTGCATGTCTAGACTACACTATCCACAATGCTGCTGGAGTCCCCAGAGAGCAATCTGTATACAATCATGTTAAAATAGACTCAGTAGTCTATTTACATGATAGTTTTTTTTAACGTTTTTATCTATGAATCCGTGTCTCTATTTATTTACAAAGCTATATCAACGCTGTCACTGCTAAATTTAAATCTACTTCCTATACCATTTATTTGAATCTAAAAGTCCACAGAGCCTAAAGCTACCAGCAATCTCCTCACAGGCTACAGTCCAGCACCAAAGCTGTTAGAAAATGTTTTTTCCTGTAAGCCTGGATGTGGTTCACTAGAAATATGTCAATATCCCGGGGGACCAAAAAGACCATCTATAACTGGTCCTTTCTACTGGCAAAGGCGTGTTTCCTATGGAATCCAAGTGGAATTTGAGGAATCCTATTGGTATGGTTATGCTTCTCCGAAAGGATGTTTCCCTGTTATTCTGTGATTAATGACTTTGCCATTCTATTGACACATGGCCTGTTTCCACAGCATTAGTCCTGATGAAGAAACAGGGAGCAATTAAAGGCTGTAGACACAACCCAGCAACCCCAATTAATTCTCTTTGAGAGCCATATGTGCACATCATCAAACAGCAAAGGCCCAGAGTCTCCAGAGTTAAGATTTAAAGGTTCGTGTTGGTATTATGTTATCTGTTTCCAGCTTTTCAGTATTACCTAGAAAGACAGACCTAAGATATGGTGTCAGTATATTCCAGATGAGCTCTAGATTGTCTGCAGATTATCTAACATAGTAACAGGCTACTGAATGGATACAGAATATTGAAAATACATCCACAAAAAGCAAAAATTCCACCAAACAGGAGGAGAAAATGCTATGGTTTGCTTGCTTAAAAAAGGAGTCTTGAGATTTTTTCTTTTCCAAATGTCCTTTGAAGCTTCACATGCCACTGTGTATTTACCACATCAATTAGAAATGTGTAAAAAAGTAAACATTTGCTAATGATTTTGTGTTTCTGCATAAAAAAAAGACAACTATAATTTGCCTGTGGGAACAGTATGTGATGGCATGTGACTCTGAAGTTCCCTTTTCCAATACTGGTTTGAGTAGACTCCATTTGACAAAGCGATTTTGCAATCGAAGCACGGAAAAGAGGAATCATCACATGTTTTGACCAATTATGCAACAACATAGAGCTCTTTTTTTTTTTTTTTTCACAAATCATGGTCACAATACATAATGGAAACGTTGCCATTATACACAAAAAAACAAAAAAAAAACAACATAGAGCTCTTTGATTAGTTTATTCAACTTAAAAAAATAAAACCGAACACACACACATATGTGTTTGTTTTGTTTTTTGTTTGTTTGTTTTGTCCCAGAGCACATTTTGAACAACACCAAAGGCATTTCAGATTTCACACAGGTGGTTGGTTGTTGCACTCTGCAAATGGAATGAAGGTGAGTGTTATTAACCCTTTGTGTGCCACGTCTTCAAATCCCATGACCAATTAAAACTGACATAGCAACAAGCTGCAGCCATGCTGAGTGTATTTCAGCTTGTGTTGAAAGTTCGGACTTAAAAATATACACTAGTTTTAAAATTTTATTGATAGGCCACTAAATCCAGAGTTTATATATATATATAAACTCTATAAACTCTATATAAACTCTCTCTCTCTCTCTCTCTCTCTCTCTATATATATATATATATATAAACTCAATAAAATTCTTTAGTTGTTTAGGAAGGGTGGGTGAGGTGGTGAAGGTAGAGAGAGAGAGCAAGACAGAGCGAGAGAGAGTTGAGACGTTTAGTGTGGAGTGTATTTGTTGCTTTTTGCGTGTGTGTCAGTGAGGGTACTAATGAATGTAACAAAGGCAATGTAAACACCGTCTCCAGGTGGAAAACAGGAGTGACACACCTCCTGTTGTCAGACCTGCAGGGTTTAGGTCTGTGATGTTCTCCTCTGTCTTGTTGCAGACAAAAAACAGTTTTCTTTCACTGGCACAAATAATTTGTGGGGCATCTTATGATCTTGTGACACCTGATCGTTCTCTCATTTTAGTTATAGTATAATTTTTAAACAGTTGATTTTGCCAGCCCATTTGACTTCCATGCCACTCTCGTGCCACCCTAAGAAAATTTGTTTAGATCCGCCCCTGTATACAATTAAAAAAACAAAACAAAAAACCACCCACACCCACCCACAAACATTTGCAGCAGAACTAAATGCCCAAGTGGTCAGTATATTTCTTGCAATGGAAGTGCTGATACTATTGATTCTGAGAAGAGTGTTGCATAAATGAAGGTAAATCTCAGTGTAACAACACAGTATTTCGTGCATACACATTTAAGAAAGAAAGAAACATAGACAATTAAAGAAAAAAAATCATCTCTTCATCTTTTCTTTTGCTGCCAAGTTAGATTTTATGATTACCTACTGTATATACCCCCCCCCAATATCTAGCAACAACAAAGTTATTTGGAGGGGAAAATAAAGCCAATATCGATATTAATACAGTACAATTGCGATGGAAATCAAAAGAAACCCCATTCTTAAAAAATTCTGCATTAAATATCAAAAGGCACATCCAAGTCATCATGAACACAAAAGTGTCTGCAAATGATCAAATCGGAATACATTAAAAAAACGCCATCAGATATCTGCAGTGAAATTTGTTTGAACGAATAGAGCCCGCTCTTTAGGTTATTTTAGATAATGACAATACCTTCATCTTCACTATTTGATTGACTTCTCTCTCTCTCATATATATATATATATATATATATATACACATACATATACACACACACACACACACATATATATACACACACACACAAGTCAATACTGTAATCAATTTGAAGTTCTTTTATTTGAAGTCATATGTACATTTATTGCATGTCTTGTATGAAACAGAGTACAGATCCCAGGCACAATATCCCCAATAATAAAATACCACAGCTCACAATAAGCTGCAAGTAAAAACTAAAAGTATGATAAATAAAAATTAAAAGAATCTGTATTTCCAACAGATGAATGCCTTCCGTGTTGTATGCATGTGTGGGTATGAGGTAAACACAGATGAGCTTTATCGAAGAAAGCGTTTATTAGAAGATTAATCTGAAGTCGTTTGTATAATATTGAATCATATCCTGCCAAAATTCTTTCATTTGAGACAGAAATATATTTGCACCAGTGAGTAATAGCCACCCCGAGTTTTGACATTTGTAGGATTAACAGGAGATTACAATGTTTTCAAATCACAAAAATAAATAAAGAAAAATAATAGATGAAGACTAACCAAAACTTTTAGATTTAGAGAAAATCAAATCAAGAATCAGAGCCAGTTTTGATGTGTGTTGCTAGATCATTTCAGTGCCCCTCCTTTGCTATACATAGTGAGAAGATTCAGCGTCCTGTGGGATGAGCCCAGAACTCCCTTAGCACCAGTTCATCTGGATTTCCTGCAGCATTTTTATGCCTCTCTCTCTCTTTCAGAAGACCAGTCTGCTAATGGTATTGAAGCCTCCGCCTCCTCCTCCTCCTCCTCCTCCTCCAGATGGGCCGCAGCTCCCCGGTGGGTTATTGTCATCTGAACCGTTGGGCCTGAATGAGCAGGAGGATGATGGGGCCTGAAGAGCCTGGGTCCGAGCGCTGAGCTCCTGCTCCTAACGACAGCAAGCAGGGGAGAGAAGTGTTATTTCAAAGCGAGATTATATTTAAGCTTAAACAGCACTCAACTTTGCTGTGACAAAGAAGCAACGCTAGTTTGCGTGTGCTTGAAAGCCCATCAGAGCTTTCGCTGCATGTAATTACAGCACCCCCTAGAGGAGATTTACTGCAGTTGTAATGAAAAAAAAAGTGTGGTGGAATGTCAACTCGATGGAGCACAGTTCAATGACTCGTGAAATTACTCTTCACATCTTGTAACAGGACAGTTCAGATGTACAGTCCAAATAAAAAAAAAACCTCCTACACACTACATCTCCAAGTTATCTGTAAAAGCACGGCCTGCTTTCCCTTCACCTCTTTCCACCTCGGTGACTCTCTGACTTTTATAACCTCGATTCTTAGAAGTGTTAGTGTTAATGAGGCTTTAAGTCATGTTTGTGTAAAACAGGCAAAATAAGCACCATTTCTATCCAAATACCCTCAGAGTTCATAAACCATAGATTTAATACGGGCTAATCGCTTCACACTTGAATTTATAGGCAGTGACAGTTTTAAAGGGTAACCGAACACCAGTATGCGGAAGTGCATTTCATGTGTTCAACCCAACGTACCTGTAAATAGAGCTTGTTGTCTTTGATAATAGCATCCAGTAGTTCTTTCTGCAGAGGAGG